GTGAGTTTAAGAGCCATAGGAACGCATTAAACTAAGTTTAATGCGTTTCTATGGTGTTTTCCGTTCCATATAGCCATGTTTCCCCATAGCGATGGTTAATCCGGAACAGATTAACCTCGCTATGCATGGCACCACTGTAGCTATGTAACATACAGCTCTGCTTTCACCTGTCAGTCACAGCTGGGCAGGGGAACATCAGCCAATGAGAGGACGGAGGGTGGTGCAGAAGGGGGAGGAGCTGGATTATATAAGGGGTGTGTGTGATGTGTGAGGGGGAGTTTTGAGAGTTTAGAGAAATGAGAGAAATTGTTTGAGAGAGTGAGATAGATCTGTGAGAGTTAGTGAGGGAAAAGTCTGTGTGAGGTACATTAAATGAGACACGTGATTTACTATTTGGTATACTACCTGTGATTCATTCTTTTTATTTTGTTAAATCAATAAACACTGTTTTTGTTTTAAAAGAAACACTTGTCCTTTTTGAGTATTAAGGATAGGTTGGTGGCAGCAGGTTGAAGAAGAGTAGTGAGCACTCTGGGAGGCCTGAGTTGACAGAGGCTTCAGAGTGGCCTGCTACAAGCTTCAAGTTGTACTCACTAGGATAGACTTTGTATGCTGCCAGAGCTCTCCTCTTTTCCTCGATGGCTGACATCAACTCCTCCAAGTGGGCTTAGAACCAGTCTGCTGTCTTTTTGGTCTTTTTGTTTGCAGTTTTACTCTACTACACAACAGGCAGTGGTCATTATCGCAATCAGCATGCTGATAACTGGTTATGATCCTAATAATAGGGAGGCTAGAGCATCTAGTGAGGATCAAATTGAGCTGATGTCAATGCTTCAATCTTGGATGTCTCCAGGAAACTCTATGTTGAAGATTCATATTAAAGAACATGTTGCAGGGGGAGGACGGTAGAGCAACAGCAGCAAGAGTGGAGAGAAATCCCAGGGCTCTGGGGAAAACCTCTGTAATCTCCAGTTTGCAGGCCCCCAGAAATGAAAGGGGAGGCAAGGTCTTGCAGGAGAGTAAGCCTTGTTGTGAAGGAGGGCTGGAGGACCTTGAATTTCAGACAGCAATCTGATTTTTGTTAGAGTAACCTTCCTCAATCACAAGAACTGGAAGACACCATGCTGGCAAGGTAGCTGCAAATGTTGTCACAGAGGGGTGTTTTATAGTTTTTATCTCTTGGACTCCTTGACTGTGAGTAACTGATCTTTAATCTTCTATAAGCACCACAAATGGATTTTGCTTTAATTCTGATTTTTTTTCTGAGGCAAAATGTGCTTGTTAACAAGCAGCCGGTTGTTGAAGAATAGATGGGAACCGCCATAGAACAGCAGAGGAGCTGTCCTGGCAATAAACTAATAAATCAATAAAGTAATAAACAATAAAGAGTACTCAAAGCAAAGGTGGTAACTGAAATGATTTTATTTAATGAGTACTGGAGAGCTCTATTGGGCTGCTGGCAGAATATTATAAAGCCTTACAGGAAGAATTGATGCCACATTAAAAAAAAATAGAAGCTATTGAGACAGGTGGAAAAATTCCTGAATCATGGATAGAAGCCGAGATATCCTTCATACACAAATCAGGAATGGAAAGGAATCAACTTAAGAATTACAGACCAATATCTCTT